ACACACACACACACACACACACACACGGTGGTTCTCTGGGAACCTTTTCCTCTCAGGCATGATATACAACCTCAGAGATCTCCAGTTTTGACAGCACTAATTACACAAACACACGCACGCGCACACACAGCCTCTGGCAGATTAGTGGGGAAAATGGGCCACACCCCATATTTTTATTATAGCTAATAATTGGTTGATAATGTGCCTGTTGTTATTCCGTCTTGTTGTTTTTCAACAACAATGTTGTTGAACAGGCGCGGCTGTAGTTCCATTGGTTCGCCACATGGGGGGGCGGTAACGTGATTTGATCAGGTAAACAGCGTAGTCAAGTGACAACGATAAGAATACGTAGAAATCAATTCCTACGTTTTTTAAAATGAATTATTTTTTTAAATATAATTATCCTCCTCACCACTAGTCTGTGCTGTTTGCACGTCGTCAGTCAAATCTCTCTCTGCTTTGATGTCAGAGCGTTGGCTCCAGTGTGTTTCCTGTTTTGAGTTTGGGATTATTAATCCCGTGTGGAGTGAGTCCACTGATGGAGTTTCCTTTTGTAGTTCTAATATATTTCAATACTACATCGTGTTCATGTGTGTACTGCTGTAATAGTACTGTACACACTGTAGCTGTGAGTGTAGTAATGCCAGCCTGACTGACTGTCCGGGGTTGGAAGGTGGAGGCATTAGTCACATGAGTCTGTACTACTACTACTACTACTACTATTAGTACTTTAACACTTAAACTCATTTTGATCAGATTTGAAATGTTGACATTTTGAACCAAAGTGATGATATTTGGAGTAACGTTTTTGACCAGATGTCATGTGATCTGAGAACCTCACAACGACCTGCTTCTATGACACATTGTTGACCTAGTGTTGACCCCGTGACCCTAGTCCTCACCTCTTTGAGTCCCTTCCCTCTGGTACTGACATCAGGTCACCAGAACACTTTCTTCCCCCTGCTGTCAGTGTTATGAACAGCAGCGCAGCCTCTCTGACCCCCCGCCCCATCACCCCCCCACCCTCACTTTTTTTTCAGTCTTTGTCCTTACCATGTATGTCGTATATATTAGTGTATATTTCAGGCTGTTTGTACTTTATCATAAAGTTCTAGTTCTGTGTGACGGTGATTTTGACACCACAGCCGGTGGAACTGTTGTTTTCTTGTCAACGCAGTTCACGCTCCATAATCACGTTGTGCGTCAGCATGTGAGACAATCATGTAAAAGCAAGTGTGAAGCATGAAAATCCACATGCACAAAAAAAAGAAAAGAAAAACAGTTCCTGGAAAGTTCCTTCATGGATTTACGCGGAAAAACAGATTTTCTTCTGTTTCATGCAAATGACCTTGAACTCTGGGGCCGGCACTGGAACCGATTGACATCCCAACAGTGGTTCACGTTCTCCCGCAATTAATTCAGTCAGTTGCAGCTAAACAATAAAACAAAACTCATACTTATACATCAGGGAGGGTGTGTGTGTGTGTGTG